ACATTCCTTGTAGATCATCAAATTCCTATTCAGAAGGAAATGGATTTTTTTATGCCGTTAACTTTAGATTGAAGAGAAATGGACTTGGTGTTTTTCCCTTCCCTAGACACTACCATGCATCAGCCCGAGAAGCATGCCTCCAGCTCAGAGCAGAATCTGGCAGCACCTTGCAGAAGGGCCCCAGGGAATCCCCATGGGAGCAGAGGGGGGCATGGGTTGGGAGGCTTGGTCAGTTCCAGGGGCTGTGTCCGATACCACACAGAATTATGTGAGTTTTCCTTCTCATTGTGGGAAGGAAAATGCAGAAGTGTGACTGGAAAACTCTTTTCATAGACTATATGATAATCAAAACAGGCTATGTGTATTTAAAACAGCTCCAGGTGGTCATTTCTGCATGCTCCTGAGCAAAATGCAGAGGTAAAATCCCTGTCTGAATTCACTTCACATAGCAAGAAGGGGAAGGCATGGCTGAGAGCTGGTTCCAGTGCTAAAGCTCAAAGGTTCTTTTCCTTAATTTTTTGAAAACTAAACTAGCAAATACAAGATTCTACTACGTTGCTTTGAATTACAGTATACTTTCCTTGGATAAAGATGTAGTAAGAAATACCCTAAATTCATTTTTATTTGTTTTAAAGGATCTTATCTACCTATCTATCTATTTCTTAGAATATATCCATTTACATGTCTAAGCAGGAATACTGTATGTGAAAAGAACAGAGAAATACTAAGAAAGCCTATTTAACTCCATCATTGTAACCAACTTTCATTTTGTCCTCTATGACTTCTAGCATACTTAACTTGATAATTTGTGGAGTCACATCTCCCTCATTTTAATGATTATTTATTGCATTCTGTACAAGATGAACCCAGTTCAATTAATCAAGGGAAGCCTAAAAATCAATTAATATGAATTAAATGAGCTACACCAACTCTTAGGAAAGTCACACATAATTTACCAAAGCATTGTCAATAATGCTTAGAGAACTTTGGGAAAATTGCTCATGAGTGGTTGTTGATGCAGTTAAATGTTTTAAGCCTACATCATTAATATTACAATCAGGCTGGTGCAGAAAGGCTTGCCATTTTTCTCAGTAAGAAACCTCACTATTTTCTTTTGACTTTAAAAGACTAGTTTGAAAGGATACTTATTTCACCTGTGATTACTACAACAAAAATTAAAGCAAGGACTAAACAAAGAATGATCTGCATTTGAGGAAAGCAGAAATAAATTGCTTTACAAGTTAAAAAAAAAAAGTTGAAGCAAAGCCAGCATAAATTCATCTTATATCACACACACCTCCAAAAAAAAGCTGTTTCTAAAAGCAAGACTGGTCAGTAGGAATAGACATTTTATGCAGATTTGACCAGCACTTGGCTTCACGCTTAAATCTCTTACAGCCTTTCTCTCCTTTCCCCATTGTTGATGATATGCACACCCAGCCATACAGATCTTCCTAGGAGAGACAACCTTCTCACACATGATCCTTATGAGAGGTCTCTACTCAGCAACCCTGAAAAGCCCTCTAACAACAGTTTCATTTGTAAATCGGTGAGGGAAGAAGTGGGTTTTGGTAGAGCTGGAAGTGGCCCGAGACAACTTGTCTCAATGGGGCAAAATAACTATTGTTATCGAGCTTAACAAAATGGCACAGCATGGGAGACATACTGAGCCAGAGAGCAGCTGGTTGTAATTCACACTGTTTTTCAGAAAACACTAATCGTTCCCGAACAGACCTCTTTGATGATTGGTCTTTCCTGCATTTCCAATTTGTCACTTTCTCTTATGATAAGGTCAGCAGTGACAGCACTTCCTGACATTAACAGCTGTGGCTTTTAAAAGGGTCATTGTGGAACTACTAATTGCAGTAATTTCATTAGCATAAATTATTTATTCTGCCATTCATTTATCTCTCTTTTTTTTTTTTTTCTTTCCCCCTAATACTACATTGTATTTTTCAATATATGCCCATTTAGGGCTGTAGGCAAAGGAAATTATTATTGCTAATTTAGCCTTATTACAAAAAATCAAACAAAAAAGAATTGATACAGTAACAAAATCTGATTTAACTGCAGTTCACTAGAAAGTATAACGTAGCTTGAAGCCAATAATGAAGAATAGACTGTTCTGAATCAGATTCAATAGTTCCCCAAACTACTGAGCAATAAGGCTATATAAAATCTGAAAGAAAATATAAGGGTGATGGCTGTTCATTCATATGTAATCTCTCTATTCCAGGCCTTGTCTGACTGACTTTAAGCATGGCAAAGTGAAAAATTGAAGTTTCTAAGAGAGCTTAGACACAAGTTTTGACTGTGTCCTCCTTATTATTTTCCTAAAGATATAAATCTGTCCTTAACAAATCAAATCATGATAAATCAAAAAAGACCAGCATCCCTGAACTTGAATGCATCCTGCAGGCCATTATCAAGCCTGGGAGTAACAGGAACCCAGCTTCGGAAGGATGAGAAAACAGGGAAGTACGTGTGTATATGGGGAAAAGAATAAAAGGCAAGGAGAAAAGGGAAAAAGTTGTTTCAGACTTCTTTCCCTTATCATATGTTGTAAAACACTTTGGAGTACGATATCATAAGAACATAATTAATTTATCCTTGGTATGCTTGACAGTGTGCGATGTTTAGTGCTAAGACATGAAGAAGCAGCATGCAAGACAGCTACAGCAAAATATATATTCAGATCATATAGCAGAGATGTACACTGAATTTATTTTAAAAAGTCTTGATTAAATAATTCTGGTTCTTTTATTCTGTACTCAATGCTGATATATGAAAGTAGCTGTATGTAAGGGAGACTGTGTATATTTTGAATATAGAGATGAAATATTTATGTTAAAATACTTTAGATCATGTTTTATACCAAATGAGGTATGTAAGTTCATTAAGCTCAGTATGTGTATTTCAGTAACACTTCAGTGTTTGCTTGTGCTCTTTTTACACGCAAGTTCAGCAATTTGATTATTGAAACAGAAGAGGGCTCTTTTCCTTTCTTTTCTCTGAAGGAATCTAAGACATCCAAATCAATTAAATTTTGGATACTCTCCATTTCCCTGCAACCATCTCTGGATTGACAACATCTTAACCCACACTTTGGCCAGTGTCCTGAGTGAAAAGGAGAGCACGGTACCTATGTTCTGGGAAGCTTCAGCTGGCACCAGAATTAGGTAGGATCACCACTTCTTTCTGTCCAGATACATTCACACAAGGCAGACAGGACGTTCAGACTTCATAGCAGCTCAGCATCTCCCTGCTGAGCTCAGTCTGCAGCCTCCTTCCCAGATAGGCTTTATCTTCCAGAAAAGTGCCTGGACTTGATTTGAAAATACAGAGATGGAGAATCCAAGACTCCCTTCCCCATTCTCACACTCACCCTGTATTTTTTTTTCCTGGTTTTCCCTTAGCATTTAAACACAGAAATTTGCCACACACTCATCAGGTAGACATAATGACATATCTATATAGAACTTTTACAAGGAAAAAAAAAATCATTAGCTTAACTTCAAGATACCTTAATTAAATATGCAATATAATTATAATTATACAGTCACATAAAATCTAACAATTACTTTTTTTTTTTTTTTTTTTTTTTAAATACCGAAAAAGGATAATTAAGAGCTAAGTGTCAATTATGCCAAGATAATTACTGATCTTGCACCACTCTTCATAATGGGCAGCACAGTTATGGTATGTTTCAGGCACACATCAGTTGTCGCTAACAATTTCTACACTAGCAACAAACAAAATTCCTGAGATATCTGAAAAGGAGCAAGAGAAACTGTATCAACACAGCAGCACCAAGGCCCAGAAAAGGAGGCTGCCTGCTATAAATCTCTGACAGACCAGATGGCAGTCTGCAGCCTGTATTTTGGGGTGGTCCCTGTATTTTACCTGTATTTTGGGGTGGTCCTTTGCCATCCTGCTCCTCTTACTCTGATAGCCTAATACCTCTGCAATGCTCCTGAACCTGCTCCCTTTACTCCCTACCTTTCTGTGACCATTCTCCCTTCACTTCCCATTTATTCATCCTCTATCTGCTGTTTTGATTCTCTTCTCCTTCAGTTGAGCCCCGCTCCTTTTATAGCACTGTCATAGTTTCTCTTATTTCCACACTTCCTTATGACCTCTGTGCTCTGGGTTCACTTTTTCCATCACTTTCTAATTCTAAGTATTCTTCTAATACTTTTTTTTTTTTTTTTTTTTTTTTTTACATTCTGCTATATTTGTTGCTTTTCTGTTTGGCTGCACACGCAGGCATGACTCAGGCACCATGTCACCATGTTCGGCTTTACGTGTGTTGATGACAGAAACCTTCACTCATGGACAATAGAGCAACACGTTGTTTTGTTACCCACCATTTATTTCACTTTCTGGGAACTGAACAGGAACAATATCTACTGGGAACAGTTAGCACCTATGTGCAAAAGAGACTTATAAATGGTTGCTGAGATCAGTGAATTCTTTCCTAAATAACTGGAATTATATAGAAATATAGTACTTAACTATTAAAAAAAAAAGTTTCAGTACTAAAAGCCTAAATTCTGATGACCAGATGTATTTTCAAAGGAGAAAAAATATAATTAGTTAAGGATCAGGGAAAAAAAAAAAAAAGGCAAATTTCTATTCTCTTTCTTTCTTTTTTTTTTTTTTTTTCTCCACATTGTCTTAGCAGTTTCTTTAAAAATAAATGGGAATATGCAGGTTGGTATCAAATTCAAAAAAAAAAAAAAAAAAAAGGCAGAAACCCCACTTAGCGCACTGGACAGCAAATAGCTGTTATACTCAAACTTCACATTTTCCGTAAACTGATAAAATAAAGCAGGAGGTGGAAAACACAACCAAGGAGGCTCAGCACAGCCGTCTGCTTCCCTTGCAGTCCTATAGGAGGCACCAGCACGCCGCGGAGCAGCCTCTGCCGCTGGACCGCAGCACTTTTCTGCCCAGACACCTGCAGGCTTTTTTTTACCTTTTGTTGTTATTATTATTACTTTTTTTTTTTTTTTTTTTTTTTTTTAATTTCACCTCCTCACCAAAAGTCACACTACAGACTGATCAGGAGCAACGGGGGAGTAAGTACCCGGATATTAAAGCTCTAAACGTGTTTGTCATGTGGTTCCAGAGGAAATTTTCACCTGCTTGGTTGCTGAACTGAAGGAAAACTTGCAGCTTTTCTTTAGGTAGCCTGGACCGTGCGCTGCAAAATTGCAGCCTCACTTGCTACAGCACTAGTATATATATTCAACTATATTGTGAAGGGTTAAATAAATTCTGAACTTATGAAGATCTTAAACACTCTAGAACTGAAGGATTCTGCAAAGACAAGAGTGCTATAAATTACAATGCCTTTTTTTTTTTTTTTTTTCCCCACTCACTTCTTTGCCTGAGAGACCTCTCTAAATTCCTCTGAAGGACCAGGGCAGTGACATGCCCCCAAAAATGCAGCAGGGTGAGCTTGAACAAAATCAAGGACAAGAAGTATGCAAGAAGGGGTGAAAAAAAAAAGCACTGTATTTTCTTTTTCCCCATCAGCTTATTCAGTTATCGATCTTTCAATATTCTCTTGCTTTCTTATAAGGCTGACAAGCTGGAGGCTCTGTACCTCGACCACCTCGATTCCTCAATGGACCTCCTGTGGATGGAGCACAGGGCCTCCTGCGGCCACGGCCGAAGTTATCAATAGCGGCACAGCTCATGATGGCTGGGAACTTCCAAGCTGGGGCTCTCAGCATGCATCCACCAGGGAGAAACACAGAATGATCTGCAGGGAGGAGGGAGGAAGAGAGGAAGAAAGGAATTACACGGCGAGTGGAGGCCTTCAAAGAAAGGCACGCAGTGAACCATGGCACCGCACTGGTTCAAGCCAGCTCGCAGCTGAGGCTCTGAACAAATTCGGCAGCTAATAAATTCAGTCAGCTAGAATTTTACCTTGGGCAAATAGGTTTTTACTCCCTTTGCACTGTACGCATACTGCATACTTACCGTTTCCACCCCATCTCTCCATGTGGAGATAGTTGCTCACTCCGATGTCTGTAAGTAGGAATGCAGCCACACGCACGCACTGGCACGCAGACAGCCAGAAGGCACGCATTCAGATAGTCCCTCTGACGCAAAGCCAGCTCTTGGGTTCTTAAACCTATTCAAGCCACTTCCAGCCATTCTAACACACACTGCAACTCCATTAAAAGAATGTAAAGGAAATGAGATTAGGATCTTGGTTTCTATGTGACTGTTTAGGGGCCATTTTTTACAAAAGGGGAAAGGGATGCCCAAACTAGGCTAAAATAGTCAGAGAAGACTAAATCTGTATTTGGCTTATCCAAGGCAATTCACATTTGAGAAGGATTATTCCAGTCTCTTAGTTGTTGTCTGTGGACCTACTTACTGCATTAGCACACGGTTTGGCTACTGTGTTTGCTTTTGGTTAATTAGCAAAATGACAGACATCAAGCTGTTAAGATGGGTCCGGACTGTTCTGTCTTAACACTGAAGTGTATAGGACCACTGTCTTATGCACTGAATCCCATGAAATAAGATTTATTTATTGCAGTACAGGACTTCTTAAATCATACAGCAATAATATTGTTCATTTCAACACAAAATATCCAAATGGTATCAGAACAGATTATCTCTAGCCCAACAACCACAAGAGGCAGGAAAATTTTGTTGGGCACACTAAGGAAGTGATTTTTTTTTCCTGCCTCTGGAGTAATCTGTAAGTGACTTTACATGTCAAAATAAAACTATCTGAAAAAAAGCTAAGCCAGATGAAAAAGACAGAAGTGTAGAGAGTTAAAAAAAAAAAAAAAAAAAGAAAAAAGAAAAAAGGAGGAGGTTGACCTGGGACAATATCTCACTGGGTTTTAAAGCAGTCAGAGAGAAAAAGTGGTGAGTAACAGTGGAAAAAGCTTCTATGCATTCTTGAAAGAAAATGGAAAAGACTTGCTACTATCTTGTAGTTTCTAAAAATACATCTCTGCACTAGAAAACTCCAGACAATTTCTGCAATTAAGCTTTAGCTATGAGAAAAGATGGTTAAGTTTCAGTAGAGCTAAGTCAAAACAAGAAAATCTTTTACCATTATTCAGAACCCTCCCAGACAGAAAAACGTCTCCTAGGGTATGTATCACTTTGCAAGGTTTGGATTTTATGCTGTACCATGGGTAATATGCATTCTATTTCCACTCTTTTTAGAAAAATCGATTAAGAAGTTGTCTTTGATCACACGCACTGGTCAGTCTGTATCTCACAGAAAATTTCTTTCTCATGGCAGCATAAAAGGAGTGGGATTTTGAGATTATTGAAAGCTTCAGATCAATGCACTGTTTTCAGAAGCGTAACAGCAAGAAAAAGAGAAATGGTCCAATTCTGTTGGAAGTCATGGTGGAAATAGGAAAGGCAGAAGTGAGAAACAATCATAAAAGCAAGAAGAGGTAGAAAGCTCAAAAAAGGTATGAGGAGGAAGCAAGAAAGGCAAACAGAAGTATTGATGGACTTCCATGTTGTGGCAGACTGGAAGAGAAATGATACAGACAAAAATTACAAGGGGGCATAAAATAGAGAATTCACTGAAATTTTTACTGATGGGTGAACCATAAGTATTAAATAAGTTAGAGCCCCATTGCACTGTGAGCTAACTGTGTGTTCCACTTTTTAAATCCATTTTATTTTTTATGTTTCTAAATTGAGAGTATTCACAAGTCTATTTTCAACGTGCTTACCAGTTTCCCATAAGTACAACATCTCACAGTACATTTTTAATCTGTCTCATAAAACTGGATGTGGAAGACTATTTCAAGTTAAAACAGAGTTTGAATCCCCCTACTGATCTAGTTTATTGTCAGAGAGAAAATACCTCTCTCAGGTGAGCCTAAAATTCTTCTAACCACAGGTGATTTGCACATAGCCTAGAATGTATTTGAGAGTGTGTCAGCAAGAGAAACCAATGGTTTAAAATCAATTGTGGCCTTTGACAAGAATTACAAGCATCAGTGCACGTTCTCTCATTTGAAAGAAGAATGTCCAATGCTGTTTTCTAGAGTCTTGGCAGAAATATAGCTTCTGGTCTATGCTCACGCAAAAAAGACAATGGAGTCTAGGTTGTCCAGGGACAATACAAAGACCAGCCACCTGATCAGCAAAGTGGTCAGAGGTACAGAGAAGATTTCATCTACTTTGAATGTATTCAAGAGAAGCAAATGGCAGAAATATCCACACAGAAGTCCATTTTAACAAAGTAATGAAAACTGTGCTAGAATTTTAGAAATACCACAGAAAGATCTTGGAACTTACAGCAAGCTCTTACCATGCTGATCAAAGAGAAGAACAAACAAGGAAGCAGTAATCAAAAAGATGCAAGAATAAATTGTTTCCACCCCAAAACTCTGAGTTAGAGAAGTAACATAGATGAAGAATCTTCTAGGTCTGTTTCAGGATTTTCAAATACCCTAGACAAATCTTTGAACTTTCTGGAGTTTCTTCTCTGTTACACCATAAGCCCTTTGATTAGACATTCTCATTCACATCACTTTGTTTTCTGATAAAATTCTAAGTTCAGTTATAGTATCAAAAAAATAGTGAGAAATGTTCACGTTTGGGGCACCCCATTTTCTGTTCTCATTCTTCTAGCAGCCACCTTCTCGGATCTGTATACCACCCTTGATACAGTAGCAACAGTAATGGAGAGCCTAGAGATATCTGTCCCCCCTATAATGTTCTTCTTACAAGTGAACTTGCTGTAGCAGTGGTGCCAAACAATCTATCACACCTTAAAAGCTGCAAAACACACAGAGACTTGCTGGAAGTTATCTTTTCCACCCTCCTACACTGCTCACATTGCTCACGTTTGGACTTAACCCTCTAAGTATTGGACTGCAAGAAGAGTCCAAATCAAAGTTTGGGGCGGTTTGCCAAACAGCAATCTTTTAGTATTCTATTTTGCTAAATCTATTTAGCATTTTCCTTAATTCTGTGCTTTACATAACATTTTATGCTTCCTAAATATCAAACACGACTGTTTGTATGAATGATTACTATTCGTGCTCTACATGTATTTATACCAGTCTTATGTTGAGCTTTAGGGGAGAAGGTACTTCCTCTAATGTCATTTGATGGGAGTGATTTATAAGATCTAGTAACTATAAGGAGCTGTATTAAGTTATATACAGTGTGGATCCCTGAGAAGATAATAGTGGAATTTCAGGATTGCTTACTAACTTTCTGCTAGTCTCTAAATGTCAGATTTAGTAAATCATACCCATAATCCATCTGCTTGCTCTTTGATCTTGGACACCCCACCAAAAAAAAAAATCTGAAAGTTTAAGAGTACATTATAGTAGTATGTTCTAATCTTTAGTCTAATCTCATGCTTATCCAGCACTAGAGCTCATGTGGATTATCGCAGTCTCTCAACACTTCCATAACAAATGAGCAAGGAACAGGGTGTAAACTGACTGATGAGTGAAGGCAGACAGGAGAAAAATGGATGAAATATCTAGCAAAAGCTGCTAAACATAACAAGTGAATCATTTTCATGCAGACAACCAAGATATAAAAATTACAGTAAGGGTATCTCATATGGTAATAGAAAGGCTTAAGAAGTTCTCCAAGGTAAATCCATTCATTTCTTTGAAATTAATGTGGATTGAAAGGTACAACACAAGTCTTTCATATGACATTTTTAAGATTTAAATTGCCACAATTGTATCACAAAGATAATAAGTGTGGATGGAGTACTACACATGTCACTATGTCACTTCTCAGCTGTCTCTTCCTGCTGTTCTCAGATACACAAGTTCTCTAGGTTTGCTTAGTGCTTCAAACAAAGCCAGACAAATAACAGTATCTTAATACTAATGAACTACAAAGAGCCACGGCACAGGTTTGACCATTGATCTGATAGAGCCCATTCCGTTTAAGTGTCAGTACACTCACTTGTATGGTTTTGGTTCCTGGGAAACTACATGATGCTGTGGCAGGAGTAAAGCTCTGTACAGACCATCCCTAGATGGCTCTGCAATGACACCACCATTTTGTGGGCAGAGCAAGGGAAAAGCTGTGTTACATGGATGCCAGCCATGTCCTGACACTAGTCTTCAGCATCACAAAATGGACTTCAAATTTACTAACATAGATATATCCTTAAAAATCAGTTTTCTACAACACTCAAGATGTAAAGGCCAACATCCAAATAAATTAATTAAAAAAAAAAAAAAAAGCTTGGAGCTTTTTATGGAGAAACAGGAACTTCATAAGAGCTTGCCAATTGCAGAAGATATTTTTTGTGCTACAGAACTTATGAACTCTGAATAGGTTCTCAGCTGTCTAACAACATAACCGAGCCTTCATTTGCTGGGGGAGCAGTAGCTGCATCTGCCTCTCCCTGGTTCACCTGCCTCCTTGGTGGCAACTGGTTTGTAACTTCAGAAATTGTTTGGAAGGTGGGATTGTTCAAGTGTTAGACAACACCATCTCTTGTACACTTACTTCCCCATGAATCAGACAAAAATAATCTTGTCTGGGCTAATATTAGTCTAACACAGAACCAGAATCCCTAAAAACGTGTATCTCTGGCTGGAATTAAAGCATTCAAGTTGATAGGCATTTATCCCCTTGAAGAAACAACAGTGACAGCTGGCCAAAAGCCAGGCCATGTTGGGGCTGTACAAGTGCCTCTCTGCTTCACAGATGAAAGATGTTGTCAGTTGCAAAACAGACCACAAGGAAAAGCTAACATGCCCTGATGAAAGAGGATTTGGAAATGAAGATAATGATTTAAAAGAAAGGTATTAGTAATAACATTACTAATTACACCTCAAGATTACCTGTGGTGATGCGATATAGGGCGCCTGCCTATGTTTTATATTAATTCTGGCTGAAGCAGGAAAATGCTGGACTGCTGAGTCCCTTAGAAAATATGGCACCAGCTAAATAATAACAGGACTATGCAAGGAGGAGAACATGATAAGGATGTTATGGCTAAAATAGTTTGAGTATTGGAAATGCACTAGAGAAATGGCATTCCCCCAAAACAGGAAAATAATTAGTTCTTATTGCTGGGACTTAGCAACAGCCAGAATTGAGAGACCATAAACTTAGAAACGTGAGAAAAACAGTCAATGAGGAAACCTGTTCAAGAAAGGGCAGAAAACATTTGTAGCAGAGATCAGCAGCTTATGAAGAAAACTGGCTACACAGATATTGAATAACTGAGATTCAGTTAGAAAAAAAGCCATATAATATGTAAGGCTTTATAATATATAATAAATTTTAAGAGCACTGAGGAAATCAAGAGAACTATTAAGAACTGTAGAACTCAGAGAAGTAAAGACCTGAAGAAGCAACTATTTCTCAAGGGCATGGATACAAGGCAAGAACAGCTAATCCTTGCTGTCCTTTGAACTCCATCTGATTTTGTTATTCTTTTGTTTTTGGCAACCTTTCAACTTTTTCCCAAAACTGGGATCAGGCCTAAACACCTTGGAGCTCACATGGCCTATAGAAACATACTTCTTAAATGTAAACTTTATGGTAAGCATACTCTTTCAAGCATTTCATCCCTGTCTTTCTTTCTAAGAAATTATAGTAACTTGCAGAGTATTTGAGAGTGCTGCACAGAGATGTGGAATATTAAAAAAAAAGTGGACCTCCAGCTAACTGCGAGCCTTAGAAACTTGTTAGTCTATGCAATGGTATACCTTAGCTCTGTCAGTACGTTACCACTTACAGTGTTTAGCCATCAGTAGTGTTTGCCTAAGGAGTATTCTTATTTTTAATTTATTTCATCGTTCATCACCAAAGCTTTTAAAATCCTCAGGTGCATATAGATCCCTGAACACACTTCAGCTGTGGACCCATGTTTTCTAATGGTGCAATCCACTGTCTTCAACTGACATGCTTCCAACTTACACTGACATAAATTTATACCTACATAAATGGCACGTTTTCAGTACGTTAATGGCAGAATTGATTGTAACGTCTCGAACGAAAACAAACAAACAAACAAAAACAACACAAAACCGAAGAGGTATGGTGGTCCAAAGAATGGCGTTGTATAGCATTGTATAATTTAGATTCTTGAGCTGGGTTCTGTGTGGATTAGCACAAGATCTTGATTTTTTTTTTTTTTTTAATGAAATGGGAAAATGAGACTATATCACTTCACTAAGGCTCAGCATTCTGAAACTGTCTAAATTCTCCCTTTTTGTTCTTTTTCATGTTTTACTGGTCTTTTATTCTTCAAACCCAGGGAAAGTAGGAGGCATGAGGTCACCCAGCACTAACTAAAAGTCCATACAGATATCTGCCAGTGTGTTAACTCATGAAATTTATGTCTCCTTTAATACTATAATGTATCTGCTTTGCTTCCTTGCAATATGAATAGATATCTCCTTCTCTTGCCTCCAGAAGTGCTAATTTGCACAGTGGGTGGACTGGTGAAATGGTTGCGAGGTAAAAGGCATTTGAAAGCTGGCTTTCAAAAAGCTCTTAAAAGGGAAAAAAAAAAAAAAAAAAAAGAAAAAAAAAGAGAGAAAAGTGTAGGGGGGATAAGGAAAACACAAAGGGAAAGAAATGGGGAAGAAGAAAATGAAGAGATATTAGACACCATATTTTTCCGGTCCTTTCTTTAAAAATATACACAAATGCAACATAGTTGTCATGAAACATAGACAAATAGTACTGACTGGAAACAGATATACTTAGGGTAAGCACTGGTATTGATCTTGTCACTGAAGTCCAGAAAAGTAAAAACAGTATGAATATGTCAGGCAGAATAGAATGTCAAACTAGACAATTCTCCACTGGCTTTTAAGTTCTATAACTTAAAATAAATATGTGGAGGGACAGAGGTGATGGGAATGAAATTAGACGTAGGAGGGAATGTCAGCAAAACAGAAGCAAGAAAGAAAAAAAGTGAATATGAGTAGAAAAAAAAAAAAAAAAAGAAAGAAAGAGGGAGAAAGTGGTATATTATAACCACTTTAACCTCACAATAAGCACTTTAACCTCATGAAGTTCAACAAGTACCCAAGAAGTACCTCCAGCAGTTTTCTTTGGTGTCTGTCAATCCCAGGTCTGGGACTTCTTTTCGGACTCCTGCAATTATGCCCTCCATGTCTTCATCACTGAACAGATCTGGAACTGCTCCTGTGAAAAGACAAAGGGGAGGTTAGGAGAAGCCTTACACAATACACCCAGAGAAATAATCTACCCGGTATTTGGCTAGAAGGGGTTGCAGCATGTAACGAGAGATATATTATAATAATAGATCAAGTAACAAAACAGTTTCTCTCCTGTTCCCCTTACCTTTTCACCTAAAGAGAATAACTCTTTTTTAAGGGAGAAGAAACAGCATTGCTTTAAAAAGGCAAAAATACTTGCCAATAGAAAATTCACCTACTAATGGTGTAACCCACAGAATAGTGGTTCCATTTTTTTTTTTCTTTCCCTTCAGGCTATTAGAAAAATGTTTTCCAGTTAGGTTTCAATAAAAAAATAATAAAAAAAAAATAGTAGTTACAACCCTTCAAGATGTTCTTCAACTGTATAACATTTTATCTTCCTTTCTCCACATCCTCACATTCAGAATCAAGATTCTCTTATCTTCAAAAGATGGGTGAAACTGCATTACTGTCTGTTACACCCATACAGTCACAAAGAAATTGCTTGAAGTCAGTGAAATCATACCAAAGAAAACATGATATTAAGTGAAGGAGATTCCCATCTCCCCCAAATCAGTACACTTATGCGTGGTAAGCATTAGCAATTCGTCTCCTCAGCAGGCTATGTTTTCTTAAGCAGGTTAGACTCAATTCTCAAGCTGGCTGGGTTGATTTGGCTTCTCTAAAGGCTTCCCTTACAAATACCTGAAAGAAATAATCCCTTCAAAGTTCAGTGAAACCACAGATCATTTGTCTTTGGAGAAGATCTTTCAAGAAATGTGTTGGTCTAATCACCTGATGCCAACAAATCATTAATCAGCACAAGAAAGCGTTCATCTGGAACCTGGGCATCTGTCAGCAAAAACACTGTGGGCATGTTCTTGGCACCAGTCTTGATGTACAAACTGGCAAGATCTACCTGTAAGGAAAGAAGGCAATCATTCATGTTCTGTTAAAACGTCGATACAGGGAAAGTGTGAAATGCATGTTAGTGAATGGCAATGCATTGCTGACTTCTTCCTTTTTTTTCAGTTTGTTTACATATTGCTCATTTGCTGCATAACATCCAACATGAAAGGCAGCTTGCCTCTGTCCTCTGTATCTACTAACAAGCATTGAGGCTTTGACAAGACCAAGTGGTGAAGATAAGAACAGGCCACTAATGAATGAAATCCTCCTATGAATATACTAAAAATGGATATTTCAGCCCTACTGTCATGAAAGTCTTTTTTTTTTTATTTTATTATTTTATTTTCTTTTAAATGAGAAAGCTCTCCTAAATAAATTTACTTAAAGGCTGAGCAGTGAGGAGCTGCTACTTTTTCTGTCAAAACACATGGGTGCTCCAGAGAGGGACATGGGACCATTGTGCTAGCAGCTGTACAAACATAATCAAAGGTTGGAAGAGATCCCTGTAGTCATCTGGTTCAACTGTCCCCCTACCACCAATGTCACCCACTAAACCATGTCCCTAAGCACCATGTCCAACCTTTCCTTAAATACCGTGGGGACAGTGACACTACCACCTCCCTGGGCAACCCATTCCAATGCCTAACTACTCCTGAGAAGAAATTTCTCCTAATTTCCATCCTAAACCTCCCCTGGCACAACTTGAGGCCATTCCCTCTAGTCTTATCAATAGTTATCTGTGAGAAGAGGCCGACCCCCAGCTCCCCACACCTTTCTTTCAGGTAGCTGTAGAGAGCAATAAGGTCTCCCCTGAGCCTCCCTTCTCCAGACTAAACAACCCCAGTTCCTCAGCTGCTCCTCATAGGACTTGTGCTCCAGGCTCTTCACCAGCTTCATAGCCCTTCTCTGGACATGCTTCAAGGCCTCAATGTCCTTCTTGTAGTGAGGGGCCCAAAGCTGAACACCGTACTCGAGGTGCAACCTCACCAGAGCGGAGTACAGGAGACAATTGTCTCCCTGGTTCTGCTGGCTACACTATTCCTGACACAAACCAGGATGCTGGTTTTGGCCACCTGGGCACACTGCTTGCTCATGTTGAGGCAAGCATCAATCAGCACCCCCAGATCATTTTCCTCTGCATAGCTTTCCAGCCACTCTCCCCTCCAGGCCTTTAGCACTGCATGGGGTTGTTGTGACCAAAGTGCAGGACCTGGCACTTGGCCATGTTGAACCTCATCCCATTGGCCTCTGCCCATCCACCTGTCAGCCCATCCACCCGTCAGCCCATCCACCCCTCAACCTGTCCAGGTCCCTCGGCATTCCTACTCTCCGGAAGAATGACACTTCCCCACAACTTGGTGTCATCTGCAAACTTACTGAGGGTTCACTCAATTCCTTCATCCAAATCATCAATAAAGATATTAAAGGGGATGGGCCCCAACACCGATCCCTGGGGAACACCAGAGGTGACCAGTCACCAGCTAGATTTCACTCTGTTCACCACTGCTCTCTAGGCTTGTCTATCCAGCCAGTTTTTAACCCAGCAAAGAGTGCACCTGTCCAAGCCATGGGCTGCCAGCTTCTCCAGGAGAATACTGTGGGAGACCGTGACAAAGGCTTGGCTGAAGTCTAGGTAGACTACGTCAATAACCTTTTCCTCATCCAGCAGGTGGGTTACTTGGTCATAGAAGGAGATGAGGTTGGTCAGGCAGGACTTGCCTTTCATGAGCCCATGCTGGGCCTGCCATCAGTTGTGATGGAGTGTAATTACATTTGAAATAAAAAATAAGGTCAATGCTGTCTGATATGATCATATTACCACATGACCCAGCAGACAGCAATTCCTTATATTTTTTTTTAGCAGAGTATTATAAGTTTCCCACTCAGAAACAGCACAGGGGGAGTGATGACTTGTGCCTACATCTTGCACTACATATCATTTGCCCTGGGAAGGCAAGCACACTTGAGAGACCGTGTAAGATATCGAAGAATAGTCACCACCTTGACAAAACAGAACAGTGCATACCTCCCTTCTCTGAAAGCTGATGTCTCAGGTCGCAAGGCTAATATATAGCATCTGGGGAGACTACCTTGCACAAAATTTGGCCATAATCATATCCTCATTCAGCCTTGTCTGAGATTTAGAAGCATTGATTTTTGTACACATTGAGTGAAAAGGAAGGAAACATTTTGTTCCTTCCATGTTTGCTCACATAGATAAGGCTCAGCCTTGCAAAGCCCTGAGGCCTATAATCCTGATAAATAACCTCATTGTAGTAACCTTCCTTATCTTTACATGAGCAGTTTCACTGATTAAATGATTCACATGCAACAAGGACAAAATTTTGCCCTGTGTTCACTCACAGCAGTTTTATTCACTACATCAATACATGTGCAAAAAATTGTAGCAAACAATTAATTTTAAATACCAGAATTTCAAACACATCTTGGTAACGTGTGATGTGTCTGTCTTGGAGGAAGTGAAGAAACTACCAAATTTCTGTGAAACGTTTAAACAGATAGCAAGATATTCTTTGACCACCCCATTTTTCAGAGATAAAGAAAATAAGAGGTACATCTGAAAACCACATGAACCACAGGGTTTGTTACTGTGAACTATGCTGCCTCATCTGTGATTTTATCAAGCATGTGCAATAACAAAGCAACACATTCTTGAAGTAGTCAACTCTCAACAGACTCAAGTAATATATATTAGTTTACCCTCAGGTCCTGGATCCAATAGTCTTTATTCAGTGTGATTTGGAAGATCTCCAGGGAGTAGATGTATGCTGCCAGCCTTGACAGGCTTTGTTTACCACTACCACCTACTCCAACACGAAGTACATAACCCAGGGACTTCCAGAATATGACTGATCTGGCAGCTGATGACAAAAAGTAGTAACATAATGTAGACTTCAGCAACCAGCTGCAAAATTTCTCAACTTCTTTTTAGCACATTGAACTTAACGTGTCCACTTTTGTGCCAATGTGCTCCTGACACCCAAAGGTGCGTTATGTCCATGTCAGCATTCAGTTTCCTTCCAATATGTGAGCAAGCAGAAAGAGATGCTTTCCTTGGTCAGATGTTGAAAGTAACTGTAGTGCTTTACAATGACCAGAGCTGTCTGGCAGCTCGTTCTTTACACTGCGCTGCTCTAAAGCATCATTCCAAGATCCTGACAGATGCTGATAAAAAACTAGTTATCTTCAGAATAGAAACCTAGTTACCAGGATTTAATTTCACATTTACTCTTCAGGGACTGCCAAACTGTAAAGCTAATACACCATGCCACTTTGTTTGCCAAACTGGGATACTACCCTTAGTCACTAGACTTCAGAGAAGAAGATAATGGTTTACCAACATTTTCAAGCAAAACTGGTGATACCTGAGAAGGCTTATGTCTGAAATGCTGATGATTATCACATCAACCTCTAAATCGGCAGAACAAGATCTACAGTCCCTATGAAAGATCCATACGATTATCTTTGTAATTTAATCTCTTTTTTAATCCTCTTGGATAGAAACTACTATAATAGACTGCTTTGTCAAAAGCACCTTCTCTTATATAGTTCCTGCCTGAATAAGTGCAAAGTGAAAACAACAATGACATTGAAATTCTAGTCCAACTTAATAAGAAAAGCTTCCATGTTAAATGATTTGTCACTGCAAATAATAGAAAATGCTTTAACAAAACTAAGCTCTGCCAGCATGGGCCTCTCTCTCTTTCTGGAAATCATTGAAAATATATATAACAAGAAAGACTGAATATGCTGAAGAAGGTTTATAAATAATGACAAGGAGCAACAATGATGTCTGTGACTCACTGATTCAACAAAACCTTCACTTCATCTGAAAATAGGCTGTTTTTCTTCAGCACAGGAAAACAAAGCAAATGTACTTTTGAACTTTTCAGAAAGAGAAACTGCTATTTTGAGCCATGGTGACATTAAGATATTACCCAACATGAGAAAAAGTACATTAAATAAAGATAAGGTAAGAATGCATACGAAAAAATCTACACGTGAAAAAAAAAAAAAAAGATCACACTTAGAAGTCTGGGCTGGATTAGATCTAAAACATACAAGGCCAGGCAATTTAAGGCCTGACATACAGTGGTATCATTCAATATCTGTATGTTTAAGGTATTTTCTTACTTGTTCTTATTTTGAATTAATCTAATTTTAAAAGCATTTTCCCTTTCTTGGACATAAAAGATAAATATTACTTTTCTTATAAAGGCCAATTACTTCATTAACTAATAAAGCAGACTACAGAATTATCGATTATATTTTCAGACTCAGGAGAGTAAGTGTTGTTCATCTGTGCGGCACAAAAAAGGATGAATCTCTGCTTAAACAAACAAAACAGAGCTTAGCTTAACCACAGAGCCACAATCTACTTTTCCATAGCAGCACCAATATATTATGTTTAGCAGAACTATTGCTGCACGATATCCTCCCATAACCCTTGCATTAGGAGTGCTATGAGTCAGCACTGCAACCACCTCTAAAGAGCAGATGCAACAATTTCATGCAAACATTATCATCATTACCATTATTAATTATCATTAGAATCAGATAAGAATCATCATTAATTACTTCCTCCCCATAGGAAATTTTATAGATACACTGCTTACACATGCTGCATGGTACCCTCAAATAAGTCTAGGTTAATCAAAGCATGCATTTCATCGTAACGTTCTAGGAACTCCTTAAGTACATTCCTTAGTACTTCTCATCCCTTCACTGGTTTGTAGCAAGAGGCTGCTCTGCTGTTTGCAAAATCGCCATAGATGAGGAGAAATTGCAGCAGCACTTGGTCTTCCACATTCTACCACAAAGTGAGAGAAAAAAAAAAAAGTTAAAAATTGCCCCAAACATAGCACAAAAATATTTTCTGAAAGAGTAATCCATTATTGTAGTGATTGACATGCCCATGCGCTAGCAGTGCATTCACACAGTGCCTCCAAACAGCCAGGCTTCAAGCAACTGTTAGCAAAGCTGTCTATGCCTTTAACTGTTCATGTCAAAACTATTTAAAACTAAGGAAAAATAATTTGTTTGTGACAGGAAGTCACTGCTCACTCTATGTCCACAGATTACCAAATATTTAAAATTTTCTATTTTGATGTCATTTATACATGTATACTTATTCTCTCTTTCACTACTTTTTCACTCACAAATGGAAAATAGAAAGGAAGAAAAAAAAAAGTAAACAAAGCTGATGTTTTTCAGTTTCCATTTGTATTGAATAAAGTCAAATATTGTCCCCCCCTGCCCCCCCTTATTCCAAACTGTCAAGAAAACTTTATTTATTTTTTTTAAATACATGAATTCAATATGTTTATTTTAGTTCATGTTTCTGCTGCTTTGTCTGGTGCAAAA